TTGAGCAGTATAATTCTTAATCCCTGCAGCATATAATGGCTAAAATCCTGTTCATCTGTTTACATCTTGACAGCATCTCTGTCCTTTTGCCATATTTGAAAACCCAACCTAAAATTGTTGTGTTTAGTGCAATTTTGTTTGACAAAGAGCAGACAAAAATTGTGCTTTCCATTAAATCTGTCCAGCTGTATGTAGCAAGGGTGAAGTTGCATCACTGGTAGAGAACAAGATTCAAAATCATGTGATTAATCATACTGCTTCAGAACTGAGTGTGGTTTTGAAGATGAGACTCATAATCTTCCACCCTTCTTCCAAGACTGGGGAGAAGTGGGGCTGTAAACATCACTGTATCTTGAGACATGTGTCCTCCACATGCAGGCTCTATTTGGATGCTCTCCAATTTCTTCTTCTTCATGGTCTCTGTGAATCATACCATGTGTGATTTTTTTTCTGTGCCTGTGCAGAACTCTTTAGAACATTCTAGAGCTTTTTTTTAAAAAAAAGACCATTAATCCAATCCCCTGTACTGTGCATGCTCTTCCACCCTACAGTGATCCTTGGTTCCCTTTCAGCTGCCATTGACTAAACATCTTCTTCATTGTAGATTTTACCTGTTGTTTAATCTGTGGTTATTGCATCTCTGTGGAACGGAAATAGGAAACAGTCACTGACAGATGCCATTCCCAAGAGTAGGGTTCAGAAAATAGGTCTCCATCGATCCTGGCCACTGATCCAGAGTTAGGCATTGGGGACATGAATTTTCCTTCTCTATCTGAGGATGGCTTAATTCACAGGATGACAAAGTTGCCACAGTTAGAGATTCCAAGACCACCTCCACTGAGGGCTGACTCTGTTTATGATAAATAAAGGTATGTCTGTGCCTGTCCACTTTGACATGTTACCTACTTTATTAGATTTCGGCAAGGAGTCGTGGGCCAAGCCATCAACTCAGCCACAAACTTCCAGGAGACTCAAAAATCTATAAGATTCATAACAATGAACCTTTTTTTCTTTTAAAGCACCCACAGCCCTATTCTGTTATTGTGGAAGCTTCCCAGATCCGAAAAAGGGGCACAATAATACATCTTCCAGCAATAGAGATGATAGAAAGGATTTACTCTGCAACAGCACTTGGAATAAGGATAGCAAATTATCACATGGAATAGCATACCCGAAGACAAAAGGACCATAGCTCTCAGCTTCAAACAAGAGGCTGTATCTCTTGCAGTGCAGCAGATGCATTCAGCAAGACATGCAACTGATTGCTGCAAAGAACATGTTGGCAGCGTAGCTTTAAGGAGAATTGTATAACTCTGTTTAGCTGATCTTTCAGAAGATTCTACATTGAGGAAGAAGGACTTACCTTTTTATGCTGAGGGCCTCTTCAGTTACAAGACAGGCAGTATCATGAACAATCTGTACAAAAAGAAAAATACCACCAAAAGAATGGACTTCTCTTCACAATTTCAGCAGCGACAATACTGGCCCTGCTCAAGATGTCTATTCTCTTATCCAACAGTCGGATTTCCTACAGAAAGACAAAAGCCCTCTCCTATGACATTTTCCAAAAAAGAAGTCCAAACGGGACCCTTGACTCAGTTCCCACTATACCTGTTATTTAATGGTTCTCAAGAAGGATGAAGATTTAAGGCCTGTTCTAGACCTGAGAGATGTAAACTCATATATACCAAGAAATTCAGAATGGTGACAATGGAAACAATATTACAACTTCTTAAGGAAGTACTGTATACTAGTTTGCTATAATAGACCTCAAGAATGCTTATTTCAATATTACTGTCTGTTTGGACCATCAAATGTTTCCTGCATTTCCTTTTGGATGACAGGATTTATAAGTTCAAAGCATTCCCTCTTGGTCTATTGATAACACCAGGGGTCTTCACAAAATATATGGCAACAGTTGTTGCATACCTCAGGATCCGTGGAAGGACCATATTTTCATACATTGACAATTGGTTCAGGATTTATAAGTTCAAAGCATTCCCTCTTGGTCTATTGATAACACCAGGGGTCTTCACAAAATATATGGCAACAGTTGTTGCATACCTCAAGATCCGTGTAAGGACCATACAGTATTTTCATACATTGACAATTGGTTGATTGTGCTGTATTTGAAGGGCAAAGCTGAGAAAGGTGTTTCTTTCACACTACATCTGCTAGCGGATCTAGACAAGTCACACTTAGAACCAAAAAAATATAATTCAGTACATTGGAATGATACTAAACTCGAGGACTGTAAGAGCATACTTGCCTCAAGATGGGATAAACAAACTTGAGCTTCATGGCTTAAACAACAGCAATAATACCACATGCCAGATTGAAAATTAGATCCTTCCAAGTGTGGTATCTGACATCCTCACTGAGAACAATGTAAACAGACTAATAATGACACAGGAGCTAGCAGACCAGCTGTTACAGTGGCCAGACAACTTCAGTCTGACTGTGGGGAGACAATTCAAGCAGCTTTACCTAGACATTCAAGTGATGCCAGATGCAGGTTTGATAAGTTTGGGGGGGGGTCATTGCCAAAACCAACAAATTCATGTTCTCTAGTCTGAAGAAGAAAAATGACTACACATAAACAAGCTAGAAATGCCGGCTGTGATATCAGCACAAAGTGGCTACAGACAATGCCATTACAATGTACTGCATACAAAGACAAGATGGAATATATTCAATGTCTATCCTGTACCTAACAGTTCAACTGTGGGAATGGTGTGTTTAGCACAATGTCTATCCTGTACCTAACAGTTCAACTATGGGAATGGTGTGTTTAGCACATCTTCCCAACATCAGTACAGGGCAATACCAATCAACTAAGCAGACAAAAAAAACTCCGATCTATGAATGGGAACTAGCCTTGCATGTGTTAAAGGAAATTTGCACTTGTTAGGATCATCTGAAAATAGAACTGTTTGCAAACAGAAACAATAGGAAATGCAAAAAAAATACTGCTCATGGGTTGATACTGGAAAGGATTCACTTGCTGCATTTATGTCTTGTTGGACAAGATGACTTGTTCATTTTTTCTCTCCTATCCCCCACTACACAGATTAGTAGTGAAACTTCACCAGAACGGGTCCAGCACAATACTGATTTTCCCAAAGTGGCCACATCAAGCATGGTTCTTAACATTGAGAATAATGGCAACAGACATTTACCAGCCACCACTGATCCCAGAATTGATAACACAAGACAGAGGGACAGTCTGTTACCTGGACCTAACCAGGCTGTAATTGATAGTGTGGAGAATTCTCCAACACTTAAAAGGATGATGTGTGAAGGCAGGAAAGTTAGACAGAATTACAAATATAAATGGAGAAAATTGGTATGCTTTGCTGAATCAATGGAAAATCTCACCTCTCACCTACCTTGCGTATTCTTGTGCTTTAACTTAAAGGAAGGCTGATCTCATGCATCACTAAAGGTATACTTATCTGTAATAGTAGCATTTCAGCCTCCAGGCTCCAATGCATCTCAGTTCAAGAATCAAACCCATAAAAGATTTGAGAGGTTTGAAAAACATATAACCTGATGTGCAACCCCCGTGGCTGCAGTTGTCACTCACTCTGGTGTTCAACCAGCTTATGAAGCCACCTTTTGAGACAATGGAAACTGCAGAATTACAACTACTAACATATAAGACGATGTTTTTAGTCACAGTAACATGAGCATGGAGAGTGAGTGAACTTAGCACACTAAGGTATTATCCACCCTTTCTTCGGTTCCAATTTTCTGGACATGTTCTTCATGCCGCCTAGAGTGGTCTTAATCAACTAGATAGGCGGGATATAAATAGAATAAATAAATAAATAAATAAATGCCAAAGTTAGTATCAGATACCCGCACACTAAGGTATTATCCACCCTTTCTTCAGTCCAATTTTCTGGACGTGTTCTTCATGCCAAAGTTAGTATCAGACACCTATCTTAATCAGCCCCTAGTGCTCCCAATATTTTTTCATCATCAGTCTCAGAATTTGGAGAAGTTACTTCAAACACTAAATGTCTGTAGGGCCTTATCCTTCTATATTTCACATGCCAAACAGTTCTGAAAGTCTAATAAACTATTTGTGAATCATCAATGCTCAAGGAAGGGAGAACATGTAACGTATCAGCATATATCAAAATAGATAGTCAACACAGTTATTTTGCCATACTAGTTGGCCAAAAAAAACAACAACCCCTCCTTGCATTGTTGAAAGCACATTCTACTAGAGCAGTTTCTGCATCTACAGCCTTTCTCAAAGGCATTTAGTTGAGAGACATTTTCAGAGCTGCAACATGGTCACAACCCTCAACATTGATCAAACATTATAGACCAGAGATCAAAGTGGAACTTGGTGCTCCATTCAGCAGAACAGTGGTCTTTTTTGTGTCTGCATAACTTTCTACCAGCTGGTAAGTGATGGTCAGTTACCCACATGTGAGATTCATAGAGACCATGAAGAAGAAGGGCAGGTTGCTTACCTGTAACTGGATCTTTGAGTGGTTGAGACCATGAAGAAGAAGGGCAGGTTGCTTGCCTGTAACTAGATCTTTGAGTGATTATCTGTGAATTCATACAAACCACCCATCTTCTCCTGGGCCTTCCCTGCAAGTATTCTCTTATCAGCAGCAGACTGGAAGAACCGAGGATTCATTGTAGGGTGGGGGAGCATGTGCGTATGGGAGAATGGATTAATGATCTTTTTTAAAAAGTTCTAGAATATTCGAAGGAGTTTTGTGCAGGCACAGGAAAAACTCCACATGTATAAATTCACAGTTACAGTAAGCAACCTATCCATTTCCCTTGCAGAAGAGACCTTTTCTTCTGAGAGAGGGAGAATGCCTCTGTTAAAATGAAACATAGCACTTGTATTTTTCAAGCAGTTAAAGCAGATTAGAAGGGGACATATTTTTAAAGGTTAAACTGTTTTATTAACCAAATATTGTAACTCTAAATTAAAACTAACAAAGAATAACTTTTTTTTATTTTCAAAGGTCTCATTGAATTTGAAGAATGTAATACAGCCAGTGCAGTTGAAGGTATGTTTTCTTGCATTGTAGAAATGGATTGAGATATGCATACTGCATTATTTCTAGTGGAAATTGTAAAAATGGTTTTAAAACACCGGGTGAAACACGTTCTCTAGTTTTAAATGAAATACTTTTTGATGTGGTAGAAATGGATCAGAGTTCTTGCATTTTGTCTTTTACTATGAGTCAAAACTTGCTTCATGTGTTTTTATCACAGACATTACTGGGAAGTTGGTAACTTTGTGCCTGTGTATGCATGTGTGTGCACATGCATGCATCCAGATGTTCCTTAATCTGTAGGGCTTGTACTCTATGCATTCCAATAAATCAAATCAATTTAAATCAAAAGTTAAACCACTAGTCAGTAAGACAGTACTCTATGCATTCCAATAAATCAAATCAGTTTAAATCAAAAGTTAAACCACTATTCAGTAAGATAAGATTTAAATCATGGCTTTCTACATAAAGACTCATTCTTGCTGGTACGATCTTAATATTTACAACCAGATGAAGCTTTCATTTTTAGAATAACAACTTTTCAGATTAGTTTTATAATTATATCAAAAAATTGCGGGTTTGGTTATACTATTAGAAACAAATCATAGGTACCATATTTTTCTGTGCATACAACCCCCCAATGTATGAGGAGACGACCCCCAATTTTGACCCAGTGTGGCTGCTCCTCTGCCTCTTCCTCCTGCTGCTGCCCAGTTGCCTCTGCCAGTGCCAGGGCTCACCTCCAGTACACACTTCCTCCTGCTGCTGCCCAGTTGCCTCTGTCAGTGCCAGGGCTCACCTCCAGTTCACGTTGCCGCCTTGTCCCCTGTCCGAAGGGAGCCCGCGAGTGGTGCTGGAGGAGGCTGCCCATTGACTGCTGCTGCCTCCTCCTCCAGCACCACTCACAGGCTCCCTTCGGGCAGGGGACAAGGTGGCGACATGAGCTGGAGGTGAGCCCCGACAGTTGCGCTGGAGGAGGCGATTGGGCAGCGGCAGAAGGCAGAGTAGCAGCCGCTTGCGGCTGCACATTGACTCCACCTCCACCTCCACCTCCTTCCGTGTATAAAATGACCTTCAGTTTTTCCTCTAATGATTTTAGGAAAAAGTATTGTTTTATACACGGAAAAATATGGTATGATTTCATAATTATCTCCTGTTGAATGTAGTCCAGTTTAATCTCCAATTTATTGTAATTTCATAATTACAATCCAGTTTAATGTACTTCTGTTGTACATTATTCAAAAGAGAAAAATAATCATTACCTCAATAATAGCAATTTAACTCAAACAATAGCGATATAGCATAAGTATTTGCTTAAACATCCATGTTTCCTAACATATGTGGTTAAACCAAATATCTTTTTTAAAAAAGAACTTAAGACTATCAACCGAGGCCACACATGGAAAAGTTAAAATACTATCCTCTGTAGCAAATTCATCTGCTACTATAGGTTTTCTCTTCTAGGGAAAGAATAATATGATAATTCTCAGACTGTACACAAAAAGATCCAAAGAGTTGTGGAGTATTCTGCTCAAAAGGTTTCACTTTCATTTCATTTCACTTTCTTCACACATACATCTATTCCACTCCCAACAATCTTCTTTTGTTCATTGAATTTTTTGAAACTTAGCACTTACATGGTAACAGTTTGATTCTGTATACATAGATTTGTAAAGGAACAATGGGATTAAGCTATTTTTCTCAATTTTGTATGTTTAATTTATAGTATTTTTGCTGTGAAGAGATATGTGATCTCTGCAGATATAATTTAGTTTTGAAAATTGTGAAACCAAACATCTATTTGCTCATCTTCCAGATAGAAAATTTGCTCAGTAATCTTACAGAAACCTCTGGAAGAGCATGATATTGTGAATGGACTAATGGAATTAATTATCCCCAAATTCAAACATTGCATGAATATACAGCCTCGTGCTATTTAATTAAAAAACTAATCCTTATTTCATGACAAATAACCTATGTACTATGATGTATCTTAAACAGAACATTTTATTTAGTTCAGTGTTTCCTCAAAAAGCATTTTATTTTTAAAAATCCAATTTAAAATTTAAAATCTGCTTTTTTAAAAAATAAATCACTTATTTTTATCCACCCTGATTGACAATGGTTCGGAAGAAAATTAGCACCAGGCAGCAAGAAATTCCAATTTATAGTTTCTGCCATTCTTATCTATGGTGGTAGATAAGAATGGCAGAAACCATTCTTATCTACTACCATTTACTACAAGTTGTTGGTAAATCTCAACTAGGTGCCAGAGACCTTAAGTTTTAAAACCAACAGCCTGTATATCTTAGAGGCCTACTGAGATACCTGTAAGCTGCCCATTTCTATAAATGCTGCTTATTTTAATTTATAACATCAAGGATTACTGGCCTAGATTTTTCCTTTTTCCCATTTCTCTTTCTTTTGCTACTTGTCTCTCTTAGATTGAAAACCTGAAGACATGGCATGTCTTGCTTTTATTGCTATTACATCTGCACTGGGAGTTGTTATGCCTGGGAAAAAAATCAGTTGTCAATCAGTCAATAAACCAAGAAAATTAACTTGCACTTAAAATAAATTTAATATCTATAAGACTGAAAAATTGGGATGGCTATCATATATATTATGATGACTACTTGTGCTACTCCCTTTTTGCTGCAAATGGTGAAAGTCATGAACAATTGTTTAGAATCTGTGGTGTTCATCTAAAGGCTGCTTATACTGAAACTCACTGCAGGCAAGAGAAACATGCCATTTGAAAGAGGACTTATGCTATGTTCTGGTCTCAAAAAATGAGCTACATTCATACTTTCAGTAGTTGTATGCTGTGCCTACCTTTGTATGAAGCCAGATGTCCTATATGAGCCATTTCCTATATGTAGAAATAAATATCTGTGTCTTTTGGCCTACAGATAATTTCCACTTTTATAAACACAAACTGTTTACTGAATATACCTGTATTGATAACTGTGATGTTAAGTTTAATCTTCATTTTCATCAATCAACTGCTTGTTTTGTAGGAATAAAGCCAAAAAAAAGAAAACCTTTTGGGTTACCGGCAATTATTAAGAAGGAAAAAGATGCAGAATCTGTGTAAGTCTACTTCAAACATGTTAGTAAATCATTTAAAACTTTAAAAAAAGTAGGCCGGTAGTTTGCATTAAAATTGTAGCTGAAATCCAGTAATTATCTTAGAACGGTGGAGCTGGAAGGAACCCTATGGATCACTGAGTCCAGCCCCTGTCAAGGAGGCACAGTGGGGGATTGAACTCCCAGCCTCTGACTCTGCAGTCAGAAACCTAAACCACTGAGCTGTCCAGCAACTAGAGTAGGCTCATTGAATCAGTGGAGATTTGGTGAGTCAACATCTGTGTACAGTGGTGCCTCGCATTACGATGTTAATTCATTCCAGCGAAATCGCTGTAGAATGAAAACGCCGTAATGCAAAATAAAAAAGCCCATAGAAATGCATTAAAACCGGATTAATGCGTTCCTAGGAGCTTGAAACTCACCGTCCAGCGAAGATCCTCCATAGCGCGGCCATTTTCACTGCCCGTGCAGCGAGGAATCCATCCCAGAAAAGAGCGGAGAGCCATTTTTTTTAACCCGGCGGCCATTTTGAAACCGCCGATCAGCTGTAGGAAAATCGTCGTTTTGCGAGAATCGGTTCCCAAAGGAGGGAACCGATATCACAAAGCGAAAAAAAAAACATTGGAAACATCGTTTTGCGATCGCTTTTGCAATTGCAAAACCTTTGTCGTAATGAGATTTCATCATTAAACAGGGCGCTCATCTTGCGAGGCACCACTGTATGTTCTGTTGATTCAATGGGCCTACTCTAGTTGCTGGGTTACTACTGGATTTCAATTTACATGATCTAAAATATTTGCTTAAAAAGCTGATATTTAGAACATGCATATATACATCTTAGAAATAAAGAGTGCTGCCTGAATAAGAAAGAGAAGTGTGTTATGGTAAAGGTTGTGCAGTGTTTTGACTTGGATTTTACTTCAGTTCCAGAACTACATGGGAAAGATAGTGAGGGTTTCATTGTACCATCTTTGCACTATTTTGAGCTCAGTTCTGTTGTCACTGTTGCCAGCCTTTAAAGGTGCTGGGGATTGAGAGGCTTTTTATCTCCTAACTTATCTGACATATAAAAGAGGCCTCAGTAGTCAGCCTTGCCTTCCACTAGAAAGAAGTGGAAACTACTACTCTCCAGCTTCTCTTGAGAATCAGCGATTTGCCCTCAATCAAAAGCAATCCCTTCTACCACTGCTCCTTCCTTTGCTGCAATCCAAAGTTTGTATAGTAACCAAAGTTCAGAATTCTCCTTTTTTGAAAAAGGCTCAATAGATGTCATTACTATGTATAATAAGGATATTAAAATGCTTTGTGTTGCATCTAGCTTTAGGCATAACTGAAAAGCAAAGGTAAAATATTAATCCTTCTGGAATAGATAAGACATACAATAGTGTTTAGTTGTATCTATGTATTATAACAATTTATTGGTGGTTGTTGTCGTTTTTACAGGGAATGTCCAGATGCAGATTCAGTGGTAAGTGGTCTTGTTTTGAATATAATTGAACATAGTTAATATCTTGTAAGAATCTGTAATTTCTTATAAAATATGGACAATGTGTTCCTTTCTTCAGTTTTTATGGTCATTTTATCAGTGTTTAATTCAAGGTGACAGAAACATAGACTCCTCTAGCAAAAATGAAAAAATACATATATTCAGAATGCTTGAAAAATGCTTGTTCATTAAGGCTCCAGTATTCTGAAGAAAGCAAGTTTATATTCTCCAAGCAGTTTTGTCAAGCAAGTGTATTATACTAAAATTCAAAGAGTGCACAGATACCTAATTTATGTCTGTCAGATATTCTCTTTGTCTCTAGAGCATTTTGATATATTTTACTTATTTGGAAAAAGTGTAAAACATTTAGCAAAATAAATATTCATTTTGTTGGGCTTTAAACAGGTCCAGGAATAAATCAGTGGAGTGTTACATCACTAGGGTTGACTTACAGTGTTTACTTTTTGACTTGCTTGTTTTGGAGAAACAAAATCAAGTCTAAATGTATCTGCATGTTCCTTTCAAGCTGTACCAAGCCTTATATATTATCTTCCATCCCCCAGTAAAACAATTGAGTTTCATTTCATCCTTTCAGAATATTTGTTTTATTTTATTTCAGGAGCATTTCCAAAATATTATACATATTGTCTTCTTTGATGGATACACAGTGTAATATTTCTCTGCAGATGGCGCAAGTTGCTATGTCAGAGGGGAAGTGTACAGTTTTCTGAAGTTTTTAGTATTTTCAGTGTTCAGTTTTCATCTGATACCCCAGCATTGACTTGTAAAAGTTCACTTTTTGTGTACAAACAAAGAGCAAATAGCTAACCTTGAAACAGTGTTGGGCAGGCTTCAACACTGTAGGACTACCAGAACCCCAAATTCCAAAATAATTAAAGGATTCCAAGTCCAGGAATGTTGACTACCAAAACTGAATAAAGTGTGCAAGTCTTTCTACTCAAAAATTCATTCCTAGTTATGCCATAGTTTTTTTCTTCATTTTGGGCAGTATAATTGGCAGAGAGGTTTTGCTAAACAGCAAGTTTTGTTGCACTGATAAACAAAAGTGAAAAATCATAACGAAACAGCTGTAAATCATCCAAAGATCTAACAGTAGATCCAAATCTGCCTTCTTCCCATCTGTGCATTTGAATGTTATTATTGGTTCTAATGCATGTGAATGCAAAAAAAGGGAATGAATTAGAAAAAAATAATTTAAAGAGAGGATTGCTACCACCACAATCTTCTATGTTGTATTGTTATTTTTTACTTACTACATTTATACCATGCTTCCTTATCACTAGAATCTTTTATCAAAATTTGTGAAGCGTTTTTAACTGCTTGTTGTTTTCTCCTCATTCAGAAACTTATATATATTAATCTACCAGCAATATATTCATGTAACAAAAATGGGTTTTCTGTGACTAGAAATAGGCATGCTATGTTTTGAGGATTGGTAGTATCCTAGCCAGTGAAGTTAATCTGAAACATAATTATTACTAATTGAAACTCTGCCTTTCCACTACAAAATACCATTCAAGGTAATAAAATAAAACAAGGCAAACTGATTTAACCACAACCATATTGTCTGTGCTGCAAGTGTGAATTTTGAAAGATTCCAGATGAGAAAGTAGGTTTTCCATTGAACTAGTCAACAAAACCAAACTTGTGAGTTGTCATGGTATGGGCCTTTCATGTCTAAATGAAAGACCCAAAGCACAAAAAGATCTCTTTTGTGTAACACATGTTTGTTTGACAATTGCAATGATGATAATGATGATGATGATGACGATGATTCTTGAACAGACATTATTTGTGCTTACGAAAGAGGAGTACACGAATGCCTTCTGCTCTTTTGTGTTAATCTTTCAATGCACTTTCTCCCTTTGTCTGTGAAATCACTTAGAGAAATGTTTTATCCAATAGTGTCATGAAGGCTGTCATCATGCAGCCAATAAGAACTTCTGGGGGAAGTGGAAGGTTTGACTCTGTTAGAGGCCTTGTAACCCAGTGAGTGCTCTTTGCTTCAGTTGTTCCTTATGGGATTAGTGTATGCTCTTTGCTTCAGTTGTTCCTTGTGGGATTTGTGTATACTGAGCTCCTATCTTGGATTGCTGCTTGCCTTTCTACCTGCTGTGCCTCTCTTAGATCCTTTCCTTCCCCCCCCTTTTTTTCTTGAGTTGTTTTTTAAGATGACACCACCACCACCAATTTCTTGGGATTATCACTGCACAAGAATGCAAGGATATTATTGTGCAACAGAGCAAATCAACATTCTGCAAGGCAATTCTAAAAACAGGGCAATCCCCACCCCATTATAACTTTGAAGCTGGACTTTGACTCAACATCAAATTTGGCGTAGATGTAGCAGATAGTCTGCTCTTGCTGTGTGCTGAATGTAGGGTGGAGGTGGGCAAGTGGTTTTCAAGTAACAATATTATGAAGTTAAAATTGTCTCTCCAATGCAGAAATAACCCTTAAAAGTCTCCAGATTTAAAACAGATAAGATAAATTGAAAATATCCACCTTGCCAATCTTGTAAGGGAATGGTTAGACTTGCCCCCCCCTTTTTTTTGTTAATTTGGAAGGAATCCAGGTCACAGGGGCTGAAATACTGAAATTCAAAAAAGGCCTTTCAAAATGGTAAAACAGTGACTTCGTTATGAACTCAGCATGTATGGAACAGGCTTAACAGCAAGAGGGTTCCAAAATAGATACGTTGTTGTAGTTTTGTAGCCCAGGAAGGGAGACATTTGTAGGGCAATTAAAGGTCACAGAAATGGTCAAAATGGTTTTCTTTGAAGAGTCAAAAAACCAGGCTTGCTTTAAAGAAAGTGCTCCTGAAAGGGATGTGCCAGCATGCCTTCTTGGGATTATTTTTAGACACCCTGCCCCTTCAATTTCTTTGGAAGTTTTCTTTCCTCTTTTTTTAAGTTAAGCAAAACCTTAAAAACACTATTTTGTTTATTTGATTTTAAAAACCATTTATATTTTACTTTTTTGATTACAAACACTGTAACCATATTTAAGTGTATGTAAAAGGCAAGACCACCTTCTGCTTCTTTAGTGTCACTAGCTTCAAATAAATAAGTTTATTTTCCAGTTTGTGTCATAAACTATCCAAAGCAATTGTTAACAGTATTTATTGCATTTAACTATGATTGATAACAAAATAGCATTTCAAGTTCAGTTATATAGCTTCAGAAGTCCTTTGATTATAGTGTAGTATTGGAATGTATAAGGCCTCTAGCTATTTGTATTTGTTCCATTTACTGTGTTGTCAAGTCTTGTTAGTACGTTTTATCCTATGGACAGGGTCATCTTGAGGTTAAGCATAAAGCAAGCTTTATGATTCTAAACAAGTAGAGCTAAACTACAGCACTGTATGATGCCACTCTTCTCCTCCCCTTCAGATTATGTTGTTTATGAAAGCAAAACGTGAAAAAGAAACTGCATCTTTTGAATTTATACTTTCCGTAATATTTATAGTTGCTTTGAATTTTGCAATTTTATTTGTGGGGAATGCCTGTAATCATTGAACATCTTAAATTTATTCCATAATAAAAGGAGATATAAAGTTATGTTCTAATCTCCAGATAATGAAATAACTAAAGATCAATGCAAGTAATAGTTTCATTTTTTTTAAAAAAAGTGAACCTCTCATATGTAGTTATTTTGCTCAGAATATCCCATGAATAAGGCTGTGTTTAGGTGGCATACATCTGCCTGTGTTTAACCAGCAGTGGTTTTATAACACATAATAAAAACACATAATAAAAAGATGCATCTTGTTAATAGATATTTAAAAGGAGGTACAACAGTTAATCATGCTTTTGCTGTTTACATTAGCTGAAATGTGCACATCTTTTACAGAATTACAGCATAATTGGTACACCTTTCAGAAGCATGCATCCACATCAAAGCAACCTTTGTCACACAATGGGTTTCATTTAAATAAACATGATTTAAATAATTATTTAAATACTACTGTACATAGGTTCTGTTTGGTCATATGGCCCACAGGAAGAGAACCTGCAGTTGTAAAAAGTGAATCAAAAGCTGATGTGAAAGCACTTGGAATAAATAAATTGACATGAGTTGATGAGATAGAACTGTTCCAGGCTACAGAGACTGAACCTATCAAAATCCTAAGAAGACTACGCCAACAAGTATGGAATACAAAAGAAAGGAAACATTCAATATACTTTTAATATACATTCCAATCCCCAAGAAAGGAAAGAGCAAGGAGTGAAATAACTTATAAGATGATTGCATGAATTTTTCATGCAAGCAAAGTGATGCTCAAGGTGTTGCAGCAAAGACTTTTATCCTGTATGATGTGAGAAATACCTGATGTTCAAGCTGGATTCTGGAAAGGAAGAACAGCGTAGATCATAATTCAAATAAATATTGGCTTTTGGATCATTCCATAGAATTTCAGAAGATCAGTCTATGCTTTATAGACCACAGTTACTCCTTTGACTGTAAAGATCATGAAAAGATGTGTGCTGTTCTGAAATAAACTGGTTTTCATTCACACTTGATTGTCCCGATGCAGAACCTATATTTTGGACAAGAAATTACTGTTAGGACAAAATATGGAGGAGCAGAATGGTTTCCCATAGGCAGAGGTATCAGACAAGAATGTGTTTTGTCTCCCTGTTTGTTGAGTCTGTATGCAGAACATATCATGCAAAAAAGCTAGGCTAGGTTCAGATGATGATGAAGTGAAAATTGGTGAGAGAAACACCGGCAATTTAAAAATTTACAGATGACACCGTGTTACTGACAGAAACCAGCAGTAACTTGAAATGACACCTGAAGAAGGTGAAAGAAGAAAATGCAGAAGCAAGGCTATAGGAAAAAATCATGGCTACGGTAGTACTGTACAACTTTCATGTTGACAGTTAAGAAATTGAAGTGTTGAAGCTTTTTTGTACCTTGGTACTATCATTAACCCAAATGGGGATTGCAGCCAAGACATCAGAAGACAACTGAGGCTTGGGAAGACAACTAGAAGGAACTCAAGAAGAACCTCAAGTGCAAGGGTGTGTCACTGGCAAAATCTTCAACACTGTTGGCCATGTACAAATGTGAAAACTGGACAGTGAAGGAAGCTGACAGAACAGAGACTGATTCATTGGAAGTATGGTGCTGGGGGTGAGTTCTGTGGATACTTGGGAGTGCCAGAAAGAGGAACAAGTGGGTTTTAGATCAACAAGTCTGAACTCACTCTACAGGCAACAATGATAAAACTGAGGCTTTTGTACTTTGGAACCATCATGAGATGCCTAGACTCGCTGGAAAAGTCAGATGCTGAAATAAGTTGAAGGCAGCGGAAGAAGAGGACTATTTTGGAGGTTACTCATTCTTCGGGATATTAAAACAGTGAGATTTTAGCAGGATTTCTAAGAAATCCCTTCAAGAGAAGAAAACCTCATGAATCATTTTAGTCAGAATTATAAAATGTTCAGGTCTCTTATTTCACATCTCTATATCTTGCTGTTGACAAAAGCAATTCTAAAAATAAATTTTAATAAATTCTTGTTGTTTTTTTAACCGTTGATCTTTATCCTTTCGGGGTTGTCCTATGGTTGTGGTTTACAGCCCACCAAGTTCTCTGTCTATCTGCTCTCCTATACCATAGTGATGTGTGAGAACACTTTCAGGTATAGAGTTTTGCAAGTAATTAGTCCTCTAACATAGAACACCAGTTATTTGTAGGCTACATAGGCAGAGTAACAAGCTAATGTAATCCAAATAGATTAGGACAATCACTTAAATGTCATAGTTGTCATGCCAAAATAAAAGATGAAGTATCCGCATTTTGCTGTAGAAGAAACCACTTATTTATGTTACTTTCTGATGAATACTTTAATTTGAAGTTAGGATTGTTGATGGTAGAGCATAAGAATGTGTCATAAATGTACTCAATGGGTTTTAACAAGCTAGTGCAAACTTTGAAGCAGTGAAAATTCTAAAAGCTCGTTTGAGCTGTTATCTATACCATGTGCACATTCAAAGCAATAATCAGAGACTACAGTGTAACCTACTGTTGAAATTACGAAGGCAGGAATAATAGTCCATACTCCGTTTACTGTACAGAAGCTCCTATACTTCACTGAATATGTATAATCACCCTATTAATCATGTCTGCTAATGTAACACAGTGTTCATTCTCAGAGGTTAAAAATCAGTGTAGGCATTTGCTACTTCGCTACCTGTCATGTGACTTGGTACACAAGAGTAAATGCCTATACAGTACTGACTTTTAAAATTGAGACAGTTGGCCACTGAGATTTATGCAGATTACATGCTGCTGGCATGAAAAATGTAATTGGATTCTACCCCACCCCCCTTTTTAAAAAAACTTACAAGGGAAAAGCTGTTTTACTAGTTAAATACATGACATAGTTTCTAGATCTTGTGTCTAGTTCACTGGGTAATATTTCGTATATAAATTATCAAAAGTTTCAACTGTAGATTTCCTTGGTGAAATTAAAGAAATGGGAATCCTGCTTGCAGAAAATTTTTAAGCTGAATGTAGTAAGATTTATAAGTATCCAGTTATAATCTCTGTATTCCTCTGCAACTGTGGTTTAAGATTTGTTTTAATAGAAGGACTGTTACTTGTATGTATGCATTAAAAATAATAGTATGTTATCACATCTACTTAAATAGGTTTCCAGAGTTATCATGTTCTAATTGGGTATGTTTTATTTCCAGAATATTCCAGATGTAGATGCTGATGGATATAGCATTAAACCAGAAGCTATTCATAATATCCTCTTTTTTTCCTATCTGTGCCTATATATGAGCCTTAAAAATACTGATTAGTCACTGGGTTTTGCTGCGATATCTGTGTTTATATGTGTGCGTAGAACAGTTACATTATTCATTAACTGTATATCTGTAAATATAAGAAGCTACTTGGATGAGTAGCGAAATGTTTCAACCTAATCAGAAAGAAGTCCAGTTGCCATGACTCACCTTCTAGACATATTCATTAACTTATTAATCACTTTTTACCTTAACTATGTATAACGTGCCAAAGAGAACCATTTCTATTCATCAAGTGAGTCTGACTCTGAAGATGATGAACCAAGGAAATTCCATGTGGAAATCAAACCTGTACAGCCAAATAGTAGCTCTCATTATACAGTGCCTTCGCTGGATGAATTAAAAGAATCAATAGGAAACATCACACTTTCACCAGCTATATCTGTAAGTAATGTATGATGTGAGAAATCATAGTTATGGCTAATAAAGATTTAAACCATCTGGCTTGGCACACATCTGTGAAATGTAGAATTTTTCTATTTTTACTGTTGGTTGTGATAAAGTTATACCAAATGGTTTGAATCTTAGAATATGCTGTTCTGGCTTTCAATGCAGTGTTATTACCATTGTTTTGAAGAAGTAATTAAGGAGTGTGAATGGGATGTATGTAGATCTATCTTTGTTCAGAAAAAAAGTGGAAGAAACTAGCTGCACTGATTATCCTATTGTTTGGAAATTAACACCCCACTGTCTATTCCAGTGCTTGAAATTATGCTATATAGCTGAGGTCCATACACTTTTTGGTTCCAGGAGCTGCCTGTGATACTGGTGTGGGGATTGCAGGCTGCACACATATAAACACATTACAGTGATTCTCATTTCTTGCTGACAGAGAGTAGTGAGTTTTTTTTCTTGTTCTTCTACAAAGAAATAGCAATCTAATGGTTGTTGTGGGTTTCTGGGGCTCTTTGGCTATGCTGTGAAGGTTGTTCCTCCTAACGTTTCACCAGTCTCTGTGACCGGCATCTTCAGAGGACAGAAGTAGCACACTGTCCTCTGCTGCAGTTTGCTTGGGAGTTGAGCATTTATAGCTGTGGGATCAGCTTTTGTCCTTTTCAGGAGATGGGTGATTATGGTGATCAGTGTGTTTCTGTTGTGGGTGTATTGTTGTGATAAGGAGGAGAGATTATCTGTCACTGTAATTGATGGGTGTCATTAGCTGATCTTTTGTGTGTAGTGATCACCAGTCCTTGTGGCTGGGGAGAGTTCATTGACCTTTTGCAGGCTGTATTTTTCAGTGCTGGGAGCCAAGCTTTGTAGAGCTCTAAACTTTCTTTTTTGTTGAAGCTCTGCTGATGTTTGTGGATTTCAATGGCTTCCCATTGAAATCACAGTCTCTATAAGTTTCACCTGTAGCAACAACAAAGAAAGAGCAATATGGATTAAATTGGAAAGAAGGTTGGGATGAATGGATTAAGCTATCCATGGGCACCACACTTAACAGTCCGATGGTAGTGTAGCTTGTCATGTAACAAAGAACTTTACTTGCAATCTAATTGTGTGTTTTTATATCAGTAAACACAACTTTTGTTACATTCTGCTCATCTGATTGTCATCATTTGCACACTAAGGTCAGGTTTTTAGCAGTGGAAGAGGGAGAATGATTACAGTTTTTAGAGCATGCTAGAACTATTATAATAATTGCTCACTGTTGTACCCCTTGCTGTGAAGCAGTTTTTCTTGATTTCTAGTACTTGTCTTCTGAAAAGGAATAACTAGCTGAAAAGGTCAGACCTCACTACTGCATACTGCAGTATATGCCGTCAAACATCAACTGCCTTGTGCAGTTTTCCATGGTGAACAAATCAGATTTCTGCTACCCAGATTTAACCTTTATTATATGAAGGGTAACTAACATTTCATTCCATCTACACCTTGATGCTCTCAGTGCTAGACTAAGGGATGTAGGGAGAAAAGAGGAATCGCTCTCCTCCTCCATTTTCTTTGCAAAATGTGGAGGGGGAAAGCTGCTTTTTGCAATGAAAGTGTAGGGAGAAAGCAGGAATTGCTTTCCCCCTCCATTTCCTTTGTAAAACATGGAGGGGGAAAGCAGCTTTTTGCAAAGAAAGTAGAAGAGGAAAGCAGGAATCGCTTTCGCCCTCCACTTTTCTTGCAAAGAAAGAAATTTTGGGTTAGAAAAGGGGAGTACCTTATACATGAAAAAATATGGTATATAGGTATTCTAGCTTGATGTTTTAAATTTGGATTTAGAGAAGAATGAAAAATTATATAACCTGCAAAAAATGTTTGTAATTTTTTTCTGTATTTTTTCTTCTGCTGACATTAGAGACACAGTCCTGTAAGTATTACATTTGTTTGACAATATTTTGTTGTAAAGTTTCAGTTTTTTGACTGGTGATGGTACTTACATTGTTATATAATGCAGTGGTCTCCAGCCTTTTTAGCCCTGGGGAAGGCGAGGCACCCCCCGTTGCGCTTGTGCACATGTGCGAATGCGCATGTGTGCGCTTGTGTGCATGCGTGAAGGGTGGTGCAGCGCTGATGCAGGAGCACATGTGTGCACATGTGTGAAGGACCGCAACGCTTGGGCGGGCACTCATTCGCACATAGGCGCAAACAGGCTGTGCAGGTGTGAGGGCGGGGGTGGGAAGGGAAGTCTCCGGGCCGTGGACCGGGGGTTGTGGACCTCTGTTGTAATGTTTTTGTTGAATGACAAGCTTTATCAATTTATCTAAAGCCTGTAACTTAATTCTGTGCTGTCAAGTGACTGAAATATTGCTGATTGTGGTCAAATGGTAACAAAGGTGACATACATTAGCAAAGAGATTAATAAAGCAGTCTTGGCTATCAAAGACTGTTTCTGGTTCTGAGCATTGAGATAATGTTGATGTTGCTGAATTCCATGAAAATGTTAGTCATCAGCTTTTTCAGAACTCAGGTCAGTTTAACCGTAATCTAGAACACTGAGAAAATAGGAAACTGCCCTGCACTGAATCATACAATTGGGCCGTGTAACCCAGTAGTTCCTACTCTGGTTGGGAGTGGCTCCATAGTATTTCAGACAGGATTCTTTTCAAGCCCTCCCGGGAGGTTCCTGGTATTTTTCAGTGGTCTTCCATCTAAATATAAACTGGCCCCAACCCTGCATAGCTTTTGAAGTCAAATAAAGTGAGTGTGTTCAGGGCGGTATGGGTACCATTCCTAAATTTTTTTTTAAAGGATTAGAAGTTCAGTTTTCACTTGCCACATAGCATGTCGTTTACCATCTCAGAGTTAGAGAAGGGGGCAGTGATAATCTTTTTAAGTGCACTAGTTTTCCAAGACCATCTGACTGTCCTCTTCAGCTTGAAGTTGGGGACACAGAGTACTTTTGAACTATAAAGCCAAAAGAGCAAGCCACACCTCCCTTCCCCAGGCCAAAGCTTGAGGGAGACTTGCTCCCATGCAACCAGGTAGCTCTAAATATGAGTAGTAGTGGTCCCTGACCGAGCTGGATGAAATCAACTTCCCCTTAGGAGGAACATGGTCACGAAGGTCTTGAATGTTGTAGATATTGGGTTGGCTGTACATAAGTCACACCCCATGCCAGTAATTTCTGCTATACTCTGTATTAATTTAATGTTACCAGCTATCAGTTTTATTATCTGTTCTTTGCCATCCACAAATAATTTCCTTTCATGTTACACCAGATTTCATTAGCACAGATCTGATAGCTTCACAATTTGGTTCAGTATGCAAAAATCATATCACACTGTCTCTGTGTGACTACAATGTAGATGCAAGGTATTTTACCATGCAAACTATTTATTTATTTGCCTTCTTTCTTCCCCATATCTGAAGATCCCAGGGTGAAGTAGAAATAAACCAAAAAAGTAAAAATTATTATAAAGCAATTTTTAATTTTATAGAATCATATAATCATATAATTGCAGAGGTAGAAGGGACCCCAGGTGTCATTGACTCCCAGCCTCTATCAAAATGTTCAAGAGAATAAAATAGAAGACAAAAGTCTGGAACCCAGTTAGTCAAAGCCATGTCTTTATCACTGGACAAAATTTGAGCGAAGAACTAGGTGTTAACATGGCACCAGATTTGGCACCAATCAGGCCTTTAGGGGGAGGGTGTTACAGAACTAGTGCTACAGCAAAGACCTCCCCCAGGATCTTTCCTCCTCCAGGTGGAATACAGAGGAAAGCTTCACAGTGATTAGCAGATATATATATAAAGCATAGCTGTGATTGTTTAAAATCTCTGAAATTTGCTGCTTTAGAAGCTTCTACCAGCTACATGTTGCCTTTGTTATGAAAAAACAGGGAGGAGGACAAACCTAAGTTGCATCAAGAACAGGTGCATCATGTGAAGTAGCTGTTATGCTGCAGTAGTTTTCAGGCAGCTTCCATAAAATTGGAGCTCTTGTAGAAAGTCATCATCAGTTCATTGCACCACACCTAATGTTCCAGACACAAGTTTGTATTTTTAGAGCTACTAGGCTTTATGTCAGTGACTTAGATATTTGTTTGCATTCCAATAGATTATAATGGAAACATTTGTTCACTAAACATGGTTTGTTTTTGTTGTGTTTCATTTAGGCACAAATGAACCGGAATTCATCCAGTAAGTTCTGTAAACTCTTGACTGTTATCAATTATTTATTATGGTCCTTCAACATGGTCTCTGTGTTGTACAGAGCTACCCACTCAGAACTGTCTGGATGGAAAGAGTATTTGGATGGTAGCTCCGCTCCTCCGCTATATCATGCATGTAGTGGTATTTCAGTAATCAGCATCATCTTAGAACTGCAGGACTGGAAAGCACCTTATGGATCACCGAATCCAGCCGTTATCAAGGAGGCACAGTAAAGAATCAAGCTCCCAGTCTCTGGCTCTGCAGCCAGATGCCTAAACTGCTGAGCTATCCAGCATTTTTCTTTCATCATTACAGTATTCTAGGGACTCTATTTGAAAGAGACTGTTATTTTGAAAATTTTCCAAAAAAACCCCCAAACCCTGTTCTTCAGTTACATAACTTCATTATGTATTTGTTTATATTTTTTGGTTTTTTTCATCTTCATTAGTGCAATTACTTTTTTTTTCTTATCAGCATTTTTCCCCACAGGGCCTACAATGTTTTTGTTATCTATTTTATTTTATTTTGCTAAGTAACATGGCTACCATTTCTAAAACTGCACCCGGAATAGGTATTATGCATACTATAAATTTCAGCAGAGCAACACTGCTTCCACCAGGCTGCATCTCAGTAAAAACAGTGACAACTGTTTTGAATCTCAACGCCATCTTGCTTCCCTTGTGGATATCAAACTTGTTGTAAGTGCTTGTCTCCACCATGGTTCCCATCTTGACACTGAAGTCAGCATCTTCAGTTACACGTTCACAGAACATCTCTGCACTCAGAATTCCATCACTACCGATCAATGGATCCTTGCTATAGTATAGTGGGGTATCAAATAGAGTTTGACTGTTTATCTCCCCTGAAGTCTTGTTCTGAGCCCTTATTGGAAGAAATCACAACACTTGTCAGCAAAGGAGCCATCAAGACTTTTCCTCCTGGTATTTCACAGTATAATGGAAGGATGAAGTTGTCCAACAAACTCTAGATATGCAAGGTGTCAATGCTTACTGTGAAGTATTTCTTAATGGTGTTTGTAGCTAATCTACATTCATTTAGGAGCAAAACAATCATTCAGTTGCCAAAATGTTTCTGAATTCAGTGACCTTGTTTTGATGAATTTGGCTCATTGCTTTGCAATTGTATTGAAAACAATGAAGTTCAAACCACACATTTAAAATTAGTTTTACTTTTAAAGCTCTTTTTTTTTCTGCGCCCCTCCAATCATTTTATTATTTTTCTAACTCTTAAATATATAAGATTTCAAACCTTGACATTGTTTTGGAAATGAAATTTTGACTTGAGCATCTGCATTCACTTTGAGGACCAAAAAGAAGCTTTCCATTTCCTGCAGTAGAGCCAGAACAAGTTAAGTATCCCTAGAAAAGACTCTTTTCACAGAATAACTGCTGGCAGTGGGTGCTCTGCCACTGTATTGTCCAAATTTATAGAACTGACTGGTTGGATACCAACCAACATGTGCACAGTATAACAGAGGAGCAGGGTTATTGTCAAAACTTTTTCCCCATCTAGAAGCTTCTAAATGGGTTGGCTTTGTGCAGCTGTGGACTCATTACTGTGAATGTATAATTGACATTGTCTTTGGAAAAGCATTACAAATAGCAGCCTGTTTTAACTTCAAATTTATAGTCGTGAACCAGTATAATCAAATGTTTCTTGCAAATTAAAAGTTATGTACAGTAGTGTGATAACTGAATATTCAGAAATCAAGGTTTCTGCCAGCTATAAAAAATATATATACAGAAATAATATTTATACAGTACAATAGGTAAAGGTAAAGGTTCCCCTTGACATTTTTAGTCCAATCATGTCCGACTCTAGGGGGCGATGCTCATTAGATGTGTTAAATCAGTGGTGGGCAAGCCCCAAGGACCCTAGAGGATGTGGTTCAAGTCTTAGGAACCTCTGGGGCTGAACCACTAGACAGTTGTTTTATATAATACTGAAATGTACATTTCAAAATTAAACAAAGCCAGTCTTTTTGGAACAAAGCAAACATCTGATGATTTTGCTACCTCCTTCCCGTGGGGCATTTGGTGACAGATGTCTCTTCAGAAATAAGGAGACAATCCAGAATCTGTTAGTATGTTAGACGGAAACACAGTTTATGAAAATGTGCCAAAAAATGATTCACATTGTAATGCATGTCCATTTCACTTCCCTGTTTGAGTTACTTTGTATTGCTGGTTGACCAGTCAGAATTGTGTTTTTATAAAAAGCTTACTGATTTTTTAAATTAAATTTCATTGCCTTCAACTGTCACAATATATATTTTAATTAGGTGAAGAATTAACAAAATCAAAGCTTTCTGGTTCATCTACAGAGTAAGTTTCACTTTTGAAATTTATTTTTATTTGAAAGTTACTGAACATGATCTGTGCATGTTTACTCAGTTCCTATATCACTTATTCCTATTCATGTTGCATCTTAAGTTTACTTAATTTTACATTTTACTGTTTCATTTTATTAAAACTCAGTTCATTTTGGGGGACTCCCTCCTTCCCATTAAGTTTTCTTCTCATATCAGCATATGTAAATTGTATACTAATATCATTCAAATTAAAAATGTTACCCACTGTAGCATAAATCTGGTGCACATTATTTTTGCACTGAGTAGCACCTTATATTAGTAAAAAATTATTTATTGACACTTAAAATGTATGAATGTAAATTACTTTCTTGCCTACATAGTCAAAATATTTATTATTCATAAAAATAAATAAGTAAAAGCATCCCATATTTTCCAAGTCTATGCAGGGGAAACATGTCAAACAGCTGAAAATAATTAATATGTGAAATCCTGTTGGTATAAATATGCCTGTGGAAGACTAAAGGTGTCAGCAGCAGCATTTTCAATGGAAGCACATTATCAACTTTAATTGTTTTTATAGCATTGAAAACACATGGTATCATTCTTTTATATGTATGCATGTTTTATATTTATTTTCTGGTAAACTTATAAATTAGGAAGGGGAACAATGACTTCCTGGCATGGGATCCACTCTTTAGAAATTCTGGTGACTCATCTTCTTTGACCTCAACAGTATCTTCATCTTCCTCAGGTAACAGTAACATAATTTTAAGTTTTTGTCTTTATTTTTTATTTTTATTTTGCCTGATATTATTTAAAATGATGGGGAAAATCCATTGGCTTTTTTAATTAATGAAAAATTACAGTGATTTGTGAGCTTTGTAGTCTGAATTTATACATAACTTGCAGAAAAGTAGTTCATTATTATTTTTGTTTCTTTATAAAGATCAGAGTTTCACAATAAAAGAGAACTAATGGAAAAAAAGAATACAGTGGTGCCTCGCTTAACGAGGATAATCCGCTCCAGCAAAATCGCTGTAGAACGAAATCCCCGTCAAGCAAAAATAAAAAAAACATTGAAATGCATTGAAAACTGGTTCAATGCGTTCCAATGGGCTAAATACCTAACCATCCAGCGAAGATCCTCCATAGGGCAGCCATTTTCTGGTGCCTGTAAAGCAAAAAATGCCTCCTAAAAATAGCGGAGAGCCATTTTGCACAGCGTGTGGCCATTTTGAACCCCGACGATCAGCTGTTTTCAGATCAACGGAATGCGAAGAATCGGTTCCCGAAGCAGGGAACCGATCGTCGTAAAGCGATTTTTGGCCATTGAAACATCATTTTGCGATCGCAAAAACCTCACAGTCAAGCGGATTCGTCATTTAACGAAGTAATCATTAAGCGAGACACCACTGTAAGTTAAAGCATTTTATCAATTTTTAAAATCTTTTTTGAGTTTGAAGTGGATTGCAACATATTTAAGATGTAGCTATCACTGTATTCTCAGTACTATTGAACTATACATTTGTTTAATGTTTCTGGGTTGTTGTTGTTTTTTGAAAATTGCAGCTAAACTGAATCTTGTATTCAAATAACAGTTTCAGAATAATTGTTTCAGAATATTGTGTTGCTAATTTTTGTGAATATAAATATAAACATATTTAAATGTAGACATATTTATATCCCACTTTTGTCTTCCAGCAAGACCATCAACCCCTCTTTCTGTAGGTACCTTAGTACCTCCCCCAAGACCAGCTCCCAGACCAAAGTTGCCTACAGGAAAACTCAGCGGAGTTGTATGTGCATTACAACTTGATTGACTGATTTTAGACTTGTCTAGTTGAATATATATGTATAGTGATTTTTTTCAATTTTGTTTTAAGCCAAGGCCATTCAGCCCTCCTTTGGCCTCCAGTTCCAGCCCACCTCCTTCAGCTCCTTTGGCACGTGCAGAAAGCTCCTCTTCAATATCATCTTCTGCTTCATTCAATGCAGCAAATACACCCACAATTGGTAGGTCACAAGTCTGCCGATAACTGCACTGAAGTATCTAAATTTTTATGGTTTTTCCAATGGGATATAAATATTATTAATAAATTCAGTACTGGGTTAGAAAAATAATTTGGTTGCTTAATGTTAATTGTCCTACTAAAAAGTATCCCTTCTGTTTACAGGTTGAATATTAGAAGCACCATATGCACATAACATATTATATGTTTGGAATAATAGCATTTATTTTAGAAGAGTTTTGACACTCCACTGGGTTTGATACATATTTTTTCCTACATGTAGATTAAAGATCCTTGCTTGTATGGTGACAGTACTTAACATAAGTAGTGTGATCTTGTATTACTGTGCTGGCAGGACTTTTCCCTTTGTGGAAGCTCAATAGGATTCTAATCCACATAAACTTCAGAAAGTATTTGTATAGTTGTTGGAAAAATTCCAATAGTAAGTTGCAACTAAAGTAGGACCATTGAATCATTGGGGTTTGGTGAATCAGCACTTCTGTAAATCTCGTTGATTCAAATGGGCCTACTTTGGTTGTGACTTACTACTAAATTTTAAGCCAATGTAAATAATTTACTAAAGTTGTAGTTACTATGAGAAAGAAGACTAATACGTACAAGGTTTTTTTGGCACACATGGCAGTATTTTTAAGAACTGATGATGCAGAGGATTTTTTTTGCTAAGAAACATGAAAAAGCAATTTTAGAGATAATATTTAATGGCTGAAATCCTGTTACTCAACGTAGTAAGATGCTACTAGTGTGTGTTCTGTGCCGTCCAGTCGGAACCAACTTATAGCAGCTCTAATAGGGCTTTCAAGGAAAGTGGGATATTTAAGGACTGGCTTACCAGTTACCCAGTGAGTTTCTGTGGCCAAGTGGGCATTCAAACCCTGTTTTCCGTAGTCGTAGTCACTCTATCCCCTATACCATACTACTAGTGGCATTCAGTGGAATTTACAGAAGAGTTAACTCGCCAAACCCACACTGATTCAGTGGGTCTAGTCTAGTTGGAACTTAAACTATTGAACATTTGATTTTGCTAAGTAAACGTATTTGTTCCTGTAGCCTACTTTCTATTTGGGCATTTATGTCCAAATTAATTTCATGAATTGCATTCCAGAAATGTGTAACTCGTTCTCTTAAGCACCTGATATGTATGCATATTTAGTACAAATATGGTTGATTCATAAAAAGCAAAACACTATCAATATACAGAGTGATGAACTTGACTCTTCCATCATGTATTGAGATGCTCATGGATTTTTGTGGTCTACAGTGATTTTCATGGTTTATTTCAATAGAAGGAGATATCACATGATGTTTTCTGGTTCACCTGCAAACCAGCTTTCCTGCTAAAATTAACAGGGATCTTGTTTATCTGCCTTGTTTATCTGTGCTTCCACTCCTTACCCTGACCTCTTTTTCCCCCATGCCAGTTTTATATTCTAAGCTCTAATAAGTAGGGATTTCTTATCTTTTATTTTGTGTAAGAGTTTTCCAAACTGATAACATTGGATGTAAATAAATTATAGAGGTGATTATGCCTAGAATGGAAATGATCTCTATGCATCTAAACATGTAGAGTTCTGTAGTGCATATTGTATTTTTTTCTTCAGATTAATTGGCAGAATGTACTTCGTCCATTTTGGAATACGTTGAATGACTGCTTTGTGCAGATGGTACTGTTTTAATGGGCATCAGGATTCGTTTTTACATTGCTTTTTTTTAAGAATACAGTGTTATCCAACATTCTTTTACATATAACCAAAACAGAGTGGAAATAGAGGAAATGAGGCAAGGATATACAAGTAATATAAGTACTGAAAAGAGTAGAAAATGGTCAGTTCACAGTGATGGAGCAAGAATGAGCTATATTGTCTGGAATCCTGGAGGAAATTTATGGTGGAATAATGGTACATGTGTAAACTGCCATGGTGAATTGCCACTAATTCATGAGTTACTTTTCACATTCCTCGTCACACAGCTAGGACATTAACCAGGAATATGAGTGGCAATTTGTGAACTAGCGATACTTCATTGCTATGGTTTCTGTGGGTAAACCTTTGCCACCTTAAATCCTCACTAGCATTTTAGTCATCACTATGTACAGTGGTGTATGTAGTCTATAAATCAGAGTGTATGTTTGAAAGAACTTAAAAAGTTAAAATATAGATAGGCAAGGCCTTTGGTTCATTGAATCATGGATGTGAACCCATGAGCAATTATTTTCTCAATGCTCCAGTGTGAGTCTGTTTGCCATATCCACTTCCTTTGGGCATATCGGAGTGTCTGCACCACTGGAATATAGTTGTAAAATGCATGAATATCTGCAGCTATTAATTAATTTCCTAAAACAAAATGAATGTGTAAGACCTGCAATAAAAACCACATAATCAGGGATAGCCTTAAAATTAAGGATCAGTCCAACAACATCACCAATAATGGCTCCTTGTCATGAGTGCATCCGAAGATCTGGAACCTGAAGGGTTAACTGTAGCTGAGGAGAATGCTGAGCGATTAGAAATACAAACACCTGAATTGCCTCCAGATTCTCCTCCCCCAGTAGATAGACTGAGGGCCAGGCTTCGGGGAAGACTTATGACAAAAAGGTCAGAGGATCGCTTGAAGGCTACCCGCAGAAACATCCAATCAACTAGCCCTGAGTTCTGACAGGATGAAAAGGCTTCCAGCAGTTCAAGGGCTGTTTTTACTATATAAATAGCTCTCAGATGGCTGAAAGTCTGTCAAAGTAACAAGTCAAACCTCTGGCTTACATCCACGCTCCTCACAACCTTGAACCTTGTTCTCTGGACCCTTGGCTTTGGACTCTGACTCTGGACTATGTTGTGTGAGTTGGCTTTGGTATTTGGATATCAGCTCTGCATTCCCTTAATTCCTGACATAGGACTGGCTTATTAGACTCTGCTGTTGTAACCCCTGGGAATGTGACACTCCTACGGATGCATATTACAACAAGCAAGAGAGACTTTACAAATTTTCAGGAGAGGTTAGATTCACAGGGAGGGATCAAATCCTGCCAAGTAATAAAAGAAGGAAAAAATTGTCTAGCTTATCTTCAGTTAATTTCAGGATATAAAGAGGCTACACAAGATAATAGAGGAAGATTAAGAAAATTAACAGAGTTTTAGAGAATAATTACGCAAAAAACTGAGTGAATATACAAATACACAAACTATTACTTCAATTTGAAAAAGAAATGGAACCATTATAATCAGTATGTTAAAGTGGATGCAGAATCTAAGGAAAGTGATAACCTTTTAACAATGGGATGGACTATGGACGAAAGATAAAAAATTCACTGCAAGTCAGACCTTAAGAGAAAACTGGTATAAAATGTATTATTAATGGTGTATAACTCCAAAAGACATAAAAAATATGAACAAAAGCTGTTCAGGTCTCTGTTGGAAGTGCCAAGAAGCTGAAGACTCATACTACCATATGTGGTAGACTTGCAAAAAGACAAAGAAATTCTGGAAATACATTCATTCTGTAATGCAAAAGATTTTGACATTTGAATTTGAAATAAAACAGTGACCATGCTCTTGGCAATAACACCAAAATGTTTGGGAAAATCTTTACAAGACGTTTTCAGTTACATGTGGATGGCAGCAAAGTGGAAAATGGAGACATGGCCAACAAAAGAAGATTGGAGAGATAAAATATAAGTTAAATAAATACAGTGGTGCCTTGAGTTGCGCACTTAATTCGTTTCGAGATAATGGTCTTAACTCAAGTTGGTCGTAACTGAAAACACAATTACCCATAGGAATACATTGAAATGTGATTAATCCATTCCAGCAGATTTTTGGTTGTGTCTCAAAAGTGCTCGTTTTATCTCAAAGCATTAGTTCCCATAGGAACTAATGCAAAAACGGGTAAACCATCCACCAGGGGGATACTTTTTTTTTTACCTAAGATGACCTCTAAGGTTAAAAAAAAGACAGGAAAGGAGGGAAGGAACAATAGGGAAAAGCAGCCTTTTCACTGACCAACAGTTTGAAGGACAAAAGGAGGGAAAGCAGTTCAAATTCCCTGCCTTTTTTCCGGTCGTAAGGAAAAAAGGCCATGCAGGCTTGCTCTTCTGGGATGCAAAATGGGGAATCAATACTTTATTCACTGGGCATCCCAGTAGCTTTGTTACTTTATAACATGATTTTAAAACTCTGTGAGATTTTAACAGAGAGCCCTAAAAATTTTTTGTTTTCCACCAGTCGCAAGTCAAAGCAAAATTTTGTGACCCAAGCTGGTCGTAACTTAAATTGGTCACAAGTCAAGATGTTCGTAAATTGAGGCACCACTGTAAATGAATGAATGAATGAACAACCAAACAAATGAATGAGTATTTTTTTAAAAAGTGGGAAAACTGTTTTGACTGTATTAAATAATTAGAAGAGGTACAGAACCAACTTTTGAAAAAAATACTGTGTAAAAAGATGAAGTTCACATTCTAAAAATATGTACTGTTTAGAATAATACGTATAGGCCCATAAATCTTCTACAAGAGTTAGGGCCTTCTTTACAACGGCTTGACCTTATGGAACCAGCTTCTGGAGGAGCTCCACCAAGCCCCTCCCTTGTGACTTTTAGGAAGCAATTAAAGACATTGCCTTTTCACACCAACCGCAGCTGACCACCCCCCCCTTTTTCTTTTCCCTCCTCTTCTTCCCTCCCTTCTTTTTCTCCTATGCTCTGGAATTAATCAGTGCCATCTAGTTTATTTTTAGGGTTATTGCTATTGGCTTAATGTTGTAACCCACCCAGAATAGTGCTGTAACACTAATGGGAGCAGGATACAGAATGAATGAATGAAGTATAGTATAGTATAGATGTTAAAATAAGACTATATACACTATGAAATAGACTGTCAGTTGTCCTTGATATATATGGAAAAAATGCTGTAGTTTTCCTTTTGTACATATTTCAAAATTAATTTAAAAAATAAGAAAAAATGTGTAAAATAATTGCAAAGCCAAAGAAAGCCACTGCAGGGTTTCTGAAAAATTCTGAAGTAGGATTTAATCTGCTTCAGAACTAAAGAACTAGCTCTGCCTCCACATAATTTACATGTTGGTAGCGTTTTGCAATACTTGGATCAATATATATTTGAACTACAATAGGAAATATGAGTATTACATAATTAACATTGACCAGAATCCTATTGGTGTTTGTTTAATGTTTGTATAACTCCCACAGTTAATTTAAGATAACTGATGAAGTGCTGGGGCATGTCTTGGTTGCATGCCTAGTTTTGTGCATGATGCACAACCAAATGTGCTCCATCACCTTATAAGTTAGCTGCAGTCAGCTATGACAAGTTATGGAGACATTAACAGGATTCCATCCACTAATTAGATCAAGTACAGTGGTGCCTCGCATAGCAAGGTTAATCCGTTCCTGATTAACCTTCGCTATGCTGAAGCATGTTGAACGGGGCAGGGATTTCCATTGGAACGCATTAAACATGGTTTAATGCGTTCCAAATGGGCCAAATACTCACCGTTCAACGAAGCTTCGTAATGGCTGGCAGCCATTTTCGCGCCCTCGCCTCGCTTAACGAGGGCGCGAAAACGCTGCGCGCGGCCATTTTGGACCATTTCCGGGCTTCCGACGGCCATTTTGGCTGCCGAACAGCTGATTGTCGGGCTTCGTTTTGCGAAGATCGGTAAGCGAAATGCTTACCAGTCTTCGCAAAGCGAATTGTGCCCTATAGGAAAAACGTTAAGCGATCGCATTAGCGATCTGAAAAAACAGATCGCTATGCGATTTTGTCGTTATGCGGTGCGCTCGTTAAGCGAGGCACCACTGTAGTTTATTTTCCATGTTTAAAATTACATGGAAAAGTACACATAGGTAGTATGTCCTTGATTATAAATTCAACGTGTCATACATAGAGCAGTCTATCTCTTCAAGGTGCTTCACAGCAGTAATAGGGTGCTGCCAGTCTGTCTTGGCAAAAGAGATAGAGCCCCACCATGTTTCTCCTCACGTGGAGAGTGCTGGTTTGAAGAGGAAAGCTTCTTTGCACACAGTCTCTTTATGTGGTTGGATTTATTTGGGGAGCTTTCATGCATGGCAGGGCAGTTTCTTTTCAAAAATCACTGGGAAAGGGTATGATAGAAAGGACCTGACCTAACCTGTTTCCTTTCCTTGCTTGTTTAATTCTGTTTAATTCTGTCATGGTAATCTAAATAGCTTTAGAGAAATACTGCTTTCAACTCTTAACTTTTCCCAGCAGTCATCATAGCTCATTAATAGATTCTTACTTAAGCGCTAAGAGTTGTCTGTATTATATAGCTGAATAGGGCTGGGATTTTCCACCCAGAATTTATTTATCAGCCATTTTTCACAGAATCATGCAATAGATATATTTGGATATGATACTGGTTTGATGTGCCTTTGATAGCCATGATAGGTTTCCATCCCAGCAACGTGTCTTGTGGGATCTTAAAGAACAGCTTCATTTAGCAAAAGCATTAGTTTGTCCTAAGACTCTTTCTTTTTGTTGCAGTGGAGTAAGAGGGCTACCTCATAGAAATCAGATTTTCACTGTGATATTTCAAAATCTACATCACCCAGTGCAGTTTTTTTTAAAGTTTGAATTGAATTGCAAAGCGGCTTATGACAATCATAGATCAAATGATATATATATATGAATTTGCTGTTGAAACTGAAGCCTATGACTTCTGTGAATCCTAGGAATTTCACGTGGCCCTAGCCCTGTCAGCCTTGGAAACCAGGACATATTGCCTGTTGCAGTGGCCCTGACAGAGTCTGTTAATGCCTATTTCAAAGGAGCAGATCCTACAAAGTTAGTAAAACAGTTACTTGTTCCGAATTTTGTATTTTGCATGGAAAATATAGCTTATTTGGGTTTGTTTGTTTTTTTAATTTGGGAAGAATGATGAAATGCATGTTATATTTTTATTGTTGTCTTCACCTTGTCTGAATATCACTATATAGGTACCTGCATCAGATGTGATGTGCCATTCTGTCTACACGTCAACTTTGCTTTATTTTTTAAAAAAAAACTTAAATAAACATATTTCCAGAGAGTGGATTTTATTTACTTACCATAGGTCGGATCACAAGAAAACTGCCTCAAAAGGGGCCAACGGAAAGTGAATTCCCCCATTCCTTCATCTTCACAGCAACATGTACTCCCAAAAGCCTCGTCCAAGTGTAGGGGGACTGAATGGAATGGAATTTGACATGGCTGGAGGGAGCCCCTACAAATAAGGCTGACTAACTTCTGTGAGTGAAGCAGCATTCACAGAACTTGTGTTTGCCAGATTTTGGGGATCCCCTGGGCTAGTGCATCACAATATATCCACTTTGGAAGGCTTCTCCAGTCTTTGTGTGAAGCTTTTCAAGGTGTGGTGTGCCTATTTGGGGGGAAAGGGGACAAGAAGATAAGGTTATGTTAGTCATCTTCCACATTATTTTCTCAGGATATAATGTTTTATATAGAAGTTGACAAGAATCCCATTGGCGTTTACTTGAGATTTGTGTAACTTGCTACAGCTAATGGCAGCTAATTGACAAGATGCCAGAGTGTGTCTCAGTTGTGTGTTCAGATGTGAGACATATCCTTGCACCACAACAATTAGTTTTAGTAAGTACTGTAATGTAAATACCAGCAGGATTTAGCCTATTAATTTTCAACATAAATGTTCTCATGCTGATTTGCAAAAAGAATTAAAATAACTGGAACATCATAATAGTCAAGAACCTTAAAAAACATCAAGAAGCAGCAGACAATAATTCTAGGGTTATAGCTTCTAAAGCACTGGCAAAATAAATTGATACATACTTCTGAAAGGAGCAGATTTTCTGAAGGAAGGTAACCTACAGTTCTTGGTCCACCACAAATAAAGCCTAGCTAAAGATAACAATTACATTCCCCCTCCCAAAATCTATTTAAATGATGGTTAAAGAACATGGGGAGTCATAAGGTAATCCCTAAAATACTGGTTGGTACTGTTTGGGGCTCTCTGTTAAAATCTCAC